TGTATTGGGAGTCAGGCGTGAACAAAACGACAAATGCTTGCTGCTCCGTGGTCACAAAAGCAAGTGGCTTGTAATGAAGTTTTCAAGCCTTCGGCGTCTATAAATATGAAGACATTCGTTGCATCATGGCTTCACAACGGTGCTGTTACTTCCTCCTTAGTGATAACGCCTTATTTCCTTCTCTCTTGTCACTAGGACTAAAACAGGCCATCAGGCTCAATTCTTTCTTGTTTCTTGGATGTTGAGAAAGGACTGTTCTTTTTTTTTTTTTCCCCAGATGAAGCTCTGGTGTTGATTTGATCCGAGGGTTAGCTTTGTCGTAGCTGTGTTGAGTCCTGGATGTTCAATTACCGGCTTGTTGCTCCAACGTCAACCTGCCTCAGTTCGATCAAGCCATTCCGTTCAATTTTTTTTCCTTGGAATGATCAGATATATTCACAATCCTGAATCATTCATAATGTTTCTCCACCTAACACCATTAACTCATCATTTCATTTATATATATAACTGTATTATTGAGTCTTGAATTATAGTATATAGATAGAATTTTTTTTATCTTGTAAATCATATTTTATGCATTTGAATCGAAGACGTCTGAAAAATGGATGTTAGTTTACTAACATTAGACTGAAACTAGGCCGAACCAAAAGTATACTTTTGATCAATTCCAAGGCCAACCAACAATTTAAAAATTTAAGATTGCCTCTATCTTCTTGTTTTTAAACACCTAATGTTTTTATTTTAATTTGTTATATATAATTTTCTAAGATTTTTTTTTAATTTTTTAAGTTTAAAAATTATGAAAGCTTTTTAATTTTAATGTTAAACCATTAAAATGAAAACTTTTTTATTTTAATGTAAAACCATTAAAATGAAAATTTTCCTAATCCACATAATAAGTTAAAACATATAAACGAGAAAACGACAAACATGATAAGAAATCAAACAATTTTGTTAAATAATTAGAAAGTGCTCAAATTATTCAAAACTCTTTATTTTTTTAAAAAAGAATGAAAATTTTTTGATGTTAGAACGTTAAAAAAAAAAAAGAAGCAAGGGAGTTCATTATGGAAAGCTAAGGTGAAACCGATAAAAAGAGTTCATCGTACATTATTTGACCGTGTTGTCCTTCTAACATCCTAAAAAAACCCAAAACTAAGCGAAGCATGTCATTTCCTATTACTCATAAAGGTATCTTGGCGAGCAATCGCTCGATTTTGGTCAAATCGTGCGAGCATCGGACCCATAAACGGACGACTATAGTGGCAAAGCTATTACGCCATTTGCTTGACTTTTTTCAAGTTGCATGTGCATTTTGTCTATTATGTCTTGCTTTTCTTTTTTTTTCTTTTATAATTTTAATATTTTCTCGGTTGTATTTAATCTTTTCTTTCCGAAAGTCTTGGTCGGCAATAAACTTTTAAGTGTTTTGACCGATGACAGGTCGGTTGTCTTTCGATTTACGCAATGCAAATTTTTTCTAGAATCCAATATTACATCTTATTATAATGTTTTATTTTTTTATTACCGAATTAGTAGATTAAGTAGCTACAATTTTTTTCTTAACTTTAATATTACAATGGTTCAATTTTAATCGTTTATATTGTGGAGATTATACCCAAAACCCACAGTTAAGATGATTAAAATTTTATTACTATATATATAATTATTTGATGATATGTTTTTGTCAAATGAAATAATTCATAATTATTAGATTTTTTGTTTAACCAAAACAAATGAAAATATCTTTTCTTTTCTTTTTTAATAAATGAAAACAAACTTTCACTCTTAATCCAACTGTTAATATTATTTGGTCTTATTGTCCTCAGTCTATTGTTCTTCCTTCCTCTTTTGTTTCTCCTTCCCACCTTTCTTTAAATAATTTCTATTGAGTTTTAGTTATATTTATTGCTTTTTCTCCTTACTTTAATATTTAATTAATAATTTTTTTAATTATAATTACTCAAAGATAATTGAGTGAATAAGTAGTGTTAATTATGTGATTCCGTTTATACATTTTTAATAGATTATTTTCAATGGCTGATCATGATAAGTAGGCAAGATAATAGATTTTAGTTATATTTAATTTCATGTTTCTTACAACAATCGAAATTATAAGAAATGAAGCGATCTACTTTGAATGATATTATATATATATATATATATATATATATATATATATAATTTCAAGTTTCTTAAATTGATTAAAGGAAAGGTGTTAATATAAGAGATGTTGAATATTCACCTTTCTTTTTTAAGACAGCCCATAGTTTAGCCATATTTTGAAGAGCTATTCAAAGGTCAGCTCCGCCTTTCATTCTCCTCTATATGGTGTTGCTGGCCGTAAGTTACTGCTCATGGAGAAGCTGGTCTTCGTCATGAGTTAACCCTCACAACCAGACAAGTCTACAGAAAGAGGCAATTTTATAGACAGACGGATAAATAAATGGTGTGGGTGATCCATTGGTGGAGAGAATTAAATTCATAAGCTTAATTCAAGAATATGATAATTAATTTAATCTATAATTAATACAATTATTAAAATTACATTAACAATTTTGAATTTAGAAAAAAACGCCATACAATGATATGGCTTGATTAGATTTTTGTTAATTTGGAACTGTTTCTTCAGAATGACTAATTTCTACCATTCAAGGTTACATTTGAATAGTAAAACATGTACCAATTTCTGACCTTTGTCTTCCTCTGCTTCTATTCCCTGTATCAATGCCCTTTAGTAAAACCCTTTTTCCTCTGCTCTGACCTTTCGGACTTTCCATCCTTTCCCTCTCTTCTCTTATCTTTTCTGTGTGTTGAGGAAGAAAACACATCTGGGAGTTAGATAGACTTCCAAAATGCAACCTTTAGCAACGAATGCAATGCCCGAACATATTATTATTTGAATCTAAAAGCACTTTTTGATAACAATTTGAAGTAAATAGGTCTTAGTGTATTAGACCCACAAAGCTTGAAATTTCCTTTGTGAGCTTAGAATCCCACCAAGTAACGAGCTAAGGCAACACTAGAACCTGGAAGTCTTCTGTTGCTGGTTTTTTGGAAGCCTTGTGGCTGCTGGTTTTGTTCCACCAGCAGTTTTCTTAGCATTTTAGGCGGTATTTGAGTTGGGGTGGGTCCACTTTTGATGGTCTCATCTATAGTCCATGAATAAAATGCTTATGCCTTTTAAAACAGGCTTAGTGGGACAGTTCAATTAAAGATGGGAAAATATGATGAGTAAAATGTTCAAATAAGTTTTACAAAATAATACCAAATTCCATTCGTTTAGAAAATAATAAGTGCTATTATTCTACCTAATTAGAGTTAGGTTATTAAGGGGTGCTGTGTAGATACAATGAATAACTTATAAATAGATGAAATGTTAGAATTAATTATTTGGTTATCTACTGGGACACATTATCAAATGTTTGGGTTTGCAATTATATTATTATTTTATATATATTGGAATCTAAAACCAGCTGCTGTGCTGGGCACGTCCATTTGCTAAACCAGAGTTCGTTATTTCCGCGTCAATTTCTGTTAGGACCACGCATGCTCCTTAGTACAATGACAAAGGCCAATGCTTGCTCTTTGTTGCAAAAGAGGCGCCCAAATAACTTTTCCTTCTATAAATTAATCAGCTTCCCGACCCATTCTACCGCACATTATATCTCTCTCTCTACCAAACACCAAATTCTCCGAACCGGGCTTTTGATCGTTTGAGCTTTTCAATTTTTTCTTGGAGATGGTGCGGTTTCGATCCTCTCAATTTCTTTCTCAATGTTACCATCTTTTCTTATAATTTTTGTTGTTCATTTACCAAGCAAACAAGTTTTGTATTGACAACATAAACAGTTGAAGATTTACATGTGTTTTAGCACCAATCTTTGGTTCAGTTTTCTGTTGACACGTGTTATCTTTTGGTTCAATCGTCCGGCGATTGAAGACCATCTATCGACGGAAAAGAAGGAAAGTGATGAAAGAGAAAAACGAGGAAAATATTAAAACCAAACTCTTCCAATGATTGAAGACTAGAGAAGGGAAAGTATGAAAGAGACAAGTGGCTTACCAAAACAAAACTCTTCCGGCGATTGAAAACCATCTGCCAAAAGAGAGAAAAATATGAAAGAGAGAAACCATAAACAACAAAAGAAATTGTTGGCTTTTGCCATGGCTGAGGACCTCACCATGATATCTTCCCTGGACCTCTCCTGGCTATGGCTCTCTGCCTTCCATCTGTAGGGAAAGAGAGGGGAAATTATGAGAGAGAGAAAGAAAAACGAGAAAAAACTTGTTCGCTTTTGCGGTGGCCGAGGCCTTTGACCTCTCCATGATACCCTATGTTCCCTTTTGCTCTGGCTGAGACCCTTGATCTCACCATAACATCTTTTCTTAACTCCTCTCTGAGATCTTCCCTTAGCTCCTACATTGACACATCCTCCCTTGCCTCCTTTTTGGGATCTTCCCTTAGCTCCCACTTGGCCATCCTTTCCTTAACTACTTTGTTCGCTTTTGCTCTGGCTGAGACCTTTTTTGACTTACCTCACCATGACAGCCTCCTTGGCTCCTCTCTGAGAACTTCCCTTGGCTCTCACATTGATATATCCTCCCTTGACTCCCCTGTTCGCTTTTGCTCTGACTGAGATCCATGACCTCACCATAACATCCTCTTTTACCTCTTTTTTGAGATCTTTTCTTAGCTCTCACATTGACATATACTCCGTTGGCTCCTTTCTGGGATCTTCCCTTACTCCCACATCGACATCCTCCCTTAGCTCCTCTGTTCGCTTTTGCTGTGACTCAGATGCTTGATG